CACGGACATTATTGGTGACGGGGAGACCGCGCTCCATAGTCCACAATCAGCCCCTGTACAGCGGCTGCTTGTCCTCCGTGTGGCGCGGGAGAAGCATTCTGTGAACGCCAAGCAGGGGCCGTGGTCGAGGGTACAGGGGCATCATAACACCGGGCATGTGGGAGAAAGTAGCGGGGGTAGACATCCACGGGGAACGCGGGAGAAGTCGCGGGAGAAGCCGCGGGAAAAAAACACATCGCTAATCGCGTTCACTGCCTTTACCAGCAGCGATGATGAGGATGAAGGCAGTTCTTGAGAGAAAATAATCCACAAAAGTGGATCAGAAGTGTTGAAGAGCCTGTTGTATGTTGTTGAGACGATCTGACAAGTTCTGTGCCCATTCATTTCATCTCTCTGTTTCTACACGATAAATCCTGGAGCCTCATTTCCACTGAGAAAAATAGTAAGCCCACTATTTCTCTGAAAGGGAAATATTGAAACCAATCTCAAGATTTCATGACTGTAAACTATATAGAGTGCTGTCTTGATCACTGAAGGTCTTTGAAAATAATACAATTCCATATGGCCGCGAACCAGTGCTAAAACATTAACTATAATCTGGATCAGGGAATTTATTTCTATCCCAAATTCATTTCATAGTAAAGATATTTCACATTGACTGTTTATAGTATTCCCTGATCTCAAATAACTCCCAAGCTACAGCTTTTTGAAGTCTTTATACAATAATTAACATTTTCCAAAATGGCCGCCACCTTGATGACGTCACAATATGCAAATTAGATGACGAATCAACTTCCATCCCAAAGTTTGGTTCAAACTGAAGATATTTCTAATTTACAGTATGCCTTTATCTCAAACCATTTTAAAGTTATAGCCTTTTGAAATCTTGAAATCAAAATTGTATATTTTCTTGAAAAAACTCTGGCGCCTGACAGAGCAACATAAAAGTATAGGGTTTGTAAAAAGCAATAAATAGTACAAAATAGAATCAGTTATATGTTGTATATACTGTATATATTTCCATCCATCCATCCATCCATTTTCTACCCTTTAATCATTTCTGGGTCAGGGGGGTGGCAATCAGAGATGCCACCCAAGTCTCATAGCACCAGCCTATATATATATATATATATATATATATATATGTGTGTGGTAGACAAAGGGCAGAGGGCAGCTGTGGTGGTGGACGTGGCAATTCCAAGCGGTAACATCTGGAAAAAAAGAACATGAAAAGCTTGAGAAATACCAAGGTCTCAGATAGGAGCTGGAGAGAGCCTGGAGGGTAAAGGTGACAGTAGTGCCCGTGGTGATCGGTGCACTCGGGGCAGTGACCCCGAAGCTAGAAGAGTGGTTACAGCGAATCCCGGAACAACCTCGGACATCTCGGTCCAGAAATGTGCAGTGCTAGGAACAGGCCCGTCGGAAGGGCTGTGCGACCTGTGCCGTCGCACAGGGCCTCGCACCACACAGGGCCTCGCAATCCTTCCTTTTTTTTATTTTTTTATTAAATAAATATACTAGTTCAAGAGTCCCCAAAGGGTGGACTGCGCTCCAAATTCGGACCCCTAATCCCCTTTCTCTGGACCTCTGATTTCTTTTGTTCAAAAGTACATTATTACAAGTGAAGTCAAATTTTCACCAAAAGCGATTTGTAAACAGGCAGGCGCGAGGGCAGCTATCTACGCAGTGGGTCCTTTACGGAGCTGTCAGATAACTTTAGCAGTGTCTGAGTGAAGAAAGTAACGGGAATGAGCCCAGTGTACGGAGAGATGGATACTCGCGTCTTCCGTATGAGGAGGAGGAGAGAGGAGTGTGACCAAAGGAGGAAGAGGAGGAGCTGCAAAACAGGTGTGTGAGCGCTGTTATTGTCAATGTTGAGCCCGAATATCCACATCAAAAACATATTATAAAAGCATTAGCAAACACTGTATGTCCAACGTTCATGCTACTGTGAGTGCAGTGGATTTTGGGCATAAAAATGTGGTCAGAGTGTGTGGAGGAGGAGGAGCAGGAGAAGGAGCGTATGTTGTGAGTGTGGAGGCATGGCAAAAACGTTATTTGATGAGGAAAAAAATAACAAATATTGACTCCGCCTCATAGCCATTTTGGCGCATTTTGCCGTAATCTAACAATTAGAAAAAGAAGAAGACTCCTTTTGGTTCAATCTTTTGAGTTGCTGCCATTTTGCCACAGGACGAAAGAGCCATGTCAGCTAAAAAGACCGCAACCAATATACCAATGCCAAGCGCGGTAACAGTTTGTGTGTGGGTGCGTGCGTGTGTGCGTGCGACGCTGCATTGGAGCGAGGACACACGTCTGCGCGCGTGCTGATCTCTTCACGCACAGCGCGAGGCGGTGCTGAATTCATGTCAAATATTATAACATGAAAAACTTTCCTGAGATCTGGGAAAAAGGTGTCAGGGCAGGGCCTCGCGTTTCAAGTTCGCACAGGGCCTCGCACCCCCCTTGCGACAGGCCTGGCTAGGAACAGCAAAGATACTGCGCAGAACCCTCAAGCTCCCAGGCCTCTGGTAGAGGACCCGAGCTTAGAGAGGGATAACCGCCCGCGGAGGGCCAAAGGTGAGTGGACAATTTTATGCTAAAATAATCATGGCATAATAATTTGTTTGTATGAAAGGATTTGTCTCTGCGCCCGAACACCTGCATTTTCTTCTACAGGAATCATAAAGTTCTATCCATCTATCATAAATATGTTTAAAATAGTTTGCAAACAGATTAATCCGACAGAATGGTACAACCGGGTGCTGATGGGGGCACAAACTACTCCAGTTCCTGTAATTTGATGAGGACAAATAAGGCTTTTTTTTTTGTTTGTTGCATGACATGTGGCCTTTAAGTCTCCAAACACAGCTTAAGCCGTCTCTGCTTTTAGCACAAGATTTGCGCTGCTAGAACTGATCTAACTGCTTTGTAAAGTCAAGCTGAGCACACCCCACCACGTACGCCGGAAAGACCCATGAAAAACAAAGGAACGGGGACAGAGGGATCGAGCGGCGTGGAACTGGAATTGTTGATGTGTTTATGCAGTCAGGCAGGCTTCCGGATGGACCTGCATTTTTGTCTGGGACTGGTGGCGGAATAGAAAGAGTATGCATTACTATTTGGATTTATGACTCTAAGTTTGATTGATTTCAATGTGAGCAACACCAGTTGTGTAAATATGGAGGTGTAAATATGGAGTTCAATATGTGATCCTCAAGCTAAGTTCCAGTTCTCCCACCTTGAGACTGTCCATACCTGACTCGGACCGACAAATCAGACGCCAGGATAAGGACAGAGTCCTGCGCCGAAGACCGAGACATCCACCAGGGGTCGGCAACCCGCGGCTCCGGAGCCGCAAGTGCGGCTCTTGAGTGCTCCTGGAGTGGCTCCTGGAGCCTTTTCAAAAATGTCTGAAAATGGAGTGTGAGGGCTATATTTTATTTCTCGTTTGAATGTGGTTTCTGTAGAAGGAAAAACAATCTTTACGTTTTTAAATGCTGTAAAAATATGTATAAGTAATATCTAATTTCAACATTTCACGCGGCCCCGCCCCATGCGGCCGCTGCTGTAAACAAACCGGCGTGTGTGCATGATAGACTGTAGGTGCGCATGGATCCCAAAGCTAAAACGAGAAAGAGTCGATAACAAGACTGGACTAAGAATGAGAATGAACATTTTCTTTCAGTCAATGAGGAAGGACTGCTTCATGTTTGTAATGAAAAGTTTTGTTGCAACACGAGGAACAATGACGCGCAAAACACTGTAAACGGTGAACACGTGAAGGATTCATTCATCAAAAATTCAGAGCACCTATTTTCAGACTTCAAAACCTTCTCAAAGACGGTGAAAGAAAAGGCCATTAAGGATTTTAATTCAGCTCCAGCAAACTTCAGCCTGTGACGTGATGGATATGAGCAGACAGTGATGCAGGTATGTGACCTCTGAGCCCAAAGCAGATTTATTTACTGTATTTCTACAATTGCATGAAGGCAAAAAAATGGAAGTTAAACTAAAGCAGAGTTGTCCCGTGTTGCGTCATTCACGACACGCGTGGTGCGACACGCTGCAGTGAAAATACACATTTGATAATCATGAATGATTATTATGTATTTGTAGCCTTTACTTTGTCATTTAGATATTAGGCTAATATAGCTAATACATCTTGCAGCCTGTGTTAACTTCATAAAAGCCTTATACAAGGCTGTTATTTTTTTGCGGCTCCAGACAGATGTTGTTTTTAGTTTTTTTGTCAATTATGGCTCTTTGAACATTTTGGGTTCCCGACCCCTGGCATAGACTGAGACCAGCGCGGACCGAGGAGAGACCGCATAGACTGAGACCAGCGCGGACCGCATGAGACCAGCATGAGGCCAGCGCGGACCGAAGAGAGACCGCAGCGACTGGAGAGACCATATGGAGAGACCAGCGCGGTCCTCCTGCTGCAGCAGTATATATTCCATTGTTTTGTGACCCGTGGATGGATAAATGTCCCCTATCAATAGGATGGGGTCACTAACGGCATGATTTCCAATGTATTTGATAAAGCGTTGGCGCATTAAGTTTACAAATGAATTTAAGAGAAATTCTGCTGACGAGAAATATTCGTGAATGCCACATTCTTCGTAAAATCCTCGTAAGTAGGATTTACGCACAAATTTGTTCGTAAGAACCGTTCGTGAATGACGCCCAATGTTTTTCCAGTTGCAAATGCAATCGTTGAGAAACGTTTCACAGCTGTGTGAAGACAAAGGTGTGGATTCTCTGCTGCGATGACCTCAGAACTTCCCCTGCGCACATTTGGACATGTGCAGAAGCCGAGAACAAACGTAAGCAACAATGGCGACGGATAAACTAATTTTACGTGGAGGATTCTTCTCCTTCATCCAAACACACAAAGCTTCAGTGGGCAGTGCTCCCGCCAGAGTCGCGAGGTTCATTCATTCACATTCACTCTCTATGATGTGAATGAATGAATGGTATGATCTGTGTTTAAAACATCACCTCTGGTTCAATGGAGAGCCGTCGCACCACAGCCATTCCCCTTCTGTCTGTGAGTCTGTCAGTCCAATCCAGAATCTGTCACAACAGGAAGGCGAAGTCACTCTTCCCTCCAGAAAATCCTGCAAAATAAACATGAGACAAATGAGTCAAAAATCGCTGTTAAATCCAGACTTGCTCTCACCTGTTCGTCTCGGCTCTTGATCTGGACCAGGTCTCCTCCGTTGCTCTGACACTTCTCTCTGCTCTCACTCCAGGTTAGTTTGAGACTTTCAACAGAGAAATTATAGCACTTTGTCCCACGAAGTTCCCAGCCCTCGTCACAGTGAAGCACACTGCTGCACAACGCTGTGAAGCAGTCATCAACAAAATGTATTTGTATTGCACAATTTGTGTACAAGGCAATTCAAAGTGCTTCACAAGAGAATACAACATATAAAAATGCATATTTCTTATTAGTTATTTCTATGTAACCAATACTTGTTGTTCTTTGCTGATGCAGGAGGGTCCGTGGACAGCGGTGAGGATCTAGGACACTCGACACTCAACAACATTTATGGATATTCATCAACATTTATGGACAGTGGTCATCTGCCCCCATATGACTAATGTGTTTTCTATCATTCCATTTCTTGTGTTTGGACAGTTTTATTCTCTGATGTGTGTTGGCGAATCGACAGCTTTGTATTTGATAACTATTGTTGTGATTTAGGGCTTCACAAAAATAAATGGAATTGAATGTAGGCCAGGCAAGGCAAGTTTATTTGTATAGCACAATTCATACAAAAGGCAACTCAAAGTGCTGTAGTAACTAACAGGTCTAGAGTGTGCCCTCTGCTGTGGGTGGGGCCAAATAATTCAAGTAAAGAACTCAGCTCTTTTGCATTTCTGTCATTAACATTATCCACATGAATATTAAAATCCCCTGTAATAACTAAACTATCAAAATCTGTGCATACAACTGAAAGCAACTCGGTAAAATTATAGTATCAATAAAACTGTGACATGACTGCGGTGGCTTGTATAGGACAATGAAGAGTATTGGAGGAGATTGTTTTTGTTGTATTTCAAAAGACACATATTCAAATGATGAAAACTTCCCAAGAGACATTCTATGGGAGACAAAGTGGTCTCTGAAAATGGCAGCTAAGTCACCCCCCTTTTTGTTTTCCCGTATTTCAGATTCAAATTTGAAATTTGGTGGTGATGCTTCTATTAAAACTGCATTTCCTGGATTTTGGTCAAGCCAAGTTTCAGCCATGAACACAAGATCAAGATTATAAGAACAAATAAGATCTGACATTTAGCATAGCAAGTTTCAAAGTTTCAGTATCAGCGGTTGTGGTCGGCTGATTTTTACACGGAACAAGAATTAGATTTTCCAGATTAGACTGATTAACTTCAGAGCTTTTTCTGTTATGTATTTTTTGTGTTATCACTATGGGAATGGCACAGGTGGCTTTATGACAGGGCCCCAGCCGGGTCTCTTATCTACCTAGACTGCCAGTGGCTGCGAAGCAGAGACCCTGTGCATCCTAGTGTTTAGAGATAAGAGGAGGAGGGGAAAGCGGGGGAGGAGGATGGAGAGGTGGGTGGTTCTTGGGTGTTGGACGAGGGGGGGTTGGAGGTGGATGGGTGTTAGGGGAGGGGCAGGAGTTTGGAGATGGACGAGGGGGGAGTGGAGGTGGAGGGGTTCTTGGTGATGAGTTAGGGGGGAGGTTGGCTAAACGAGGGGGGGTGGGGGTGGGTTTGGAATGGTTTTGGGGTTAGGGGAGGGACCGGTGGATTTTGCGGGTGAATTTGAGTTAGAATTTGAGGGACGGGTGGATTTTGTGGGAGAATTTGAGTTGAACGCCCTAGGTGGCTTTGGAGGTACGTATGGGGAGTAGTTATGAATGTTAGATAGGACTCTTGATCTGGCTACAGTGGGTGTGAGAGGAATATTCTTCATCGCCGATCTTATCATGCCTGCACAGTGCTTTGGTAATTCCAGTAGTGATGGAAAACACAGGGAAAGGTCGTCCTCATTTTCCTTAGATGGAGTGGATGTGGCGGGGGGGACCCAAACCGGGTCCATGGAAGGTGATGAGGGAGTCTTTGGTGGAGACGGAGGTGGTTGAGAGGCCCCCAGTGCAGGCCTGTCTGTAGCCTGGAGCAATGGGAGGGGCTTCACGGGAGCTGTAGGTGGGGAAGGTGCTGCTGAAGATGATGCAGCAGCCACAGCTGGTGCTGGTGGTGCTGATGCTGAAGGCGCTGATGACGCTGTGGCAGCCACTGCTGCTGCTGGTGCTGTATCCGCTGCTGATGATGATGCTGGTGGACGTGTTGAGTTCTTTTGAGGCGGTGGAGGTGCCGAGACCTCTGGGTTCCGTGGAGAGGGTCGTGCCCTTTGCTTCTTCCTCTCTTTCAACGGCTGCTCGCGCTGCGCAGACTCAGGTCTTAGGGCAGATGCAAAGTTATCCATCAACACTTTTACTCCGTATTTGTTCAGATGTGGGCCTTTCCCTTCGAAAAGCTCGAGCCTAGTCCAGAACAGATTCAAGTTTTCAATTAATCCAAGTCTTCTGCGTGAACACTCATTGTGTAGAAATGTATTTAACTGGTACAGACGGCTAAACTTCTCGATTTTTCCATCTGCATTTGGAAGGGGTCCATTGATTAACACGTGTAGCTCCATTTTTTTAAGGTCATCCAGCAGCAGAGAAAAATCTCTTCTCAACTTCTCGCTGGATTTATCATGAACCAAGCAGTATAACGATTTGAAGTCTTCAAAACATTTTGTGGCAGAATTCCACTCCCATTGTCATTCTTAGCTTTGTCAACTTTGGGTTTAGCGCCGCATTCCAATAGTTGATTTTGGGAAAAGTAATTAGGTCAACATAACTTTCCAGTCTGTCCACTCATCCCATTTTCACACATTGGAAGAGTCGGGTTAAATCCCATTTCTGTTTCCAAAATATCCATCCGTTTTTGAAGAGATTTGAGCTGATTTTCCAGACAGCTGCAGCCATCGCAGACATTTCTCCGTTTCTTCCGTCCGGACATGACTAATGTTGACAAATTTCACAAAGCTGAAATCTGTAGAATGAGTAATCCGTGTTTGTAGAATAAAAATGTAAATAAAACGATTAAAAGAGATTACAAAGCAAAGCAAGCAGCGTAGCAGCAAGGAACACGTCTACACACTCCAAGCAGGAAGTACTCCAAGCTTATACCTGTGCTGGTGGAAGCAGTGGTGGTTGTACCGAGAGTAGCATTTGTCCCTGTGATCGAGTTTTTGGTTTCCATGAGTGCATCTTTCTTTGCTTTCAT